ACGAACATCCACAACAAAATATTCATGATGTCTTTACTGGTCATTGATTAGTCCGAAATTAAACTGATTCTCAATGTAATGAACCGTATGTTTTATGTCAAATATTTTCTGATCAACCACCATTGCGTTTACCAGCTCAAACATCATACAAACCATTTTCACATAAATGGAAATAAGTGAAACGCATAGATTGTAACCCTTTCTAGTCAACAAGGATCAGTTAAAATGAACATAAAATTAGCTGGAATTCGATTCATGTGTTAGCTTGTCGAATATCTGCATTACTCTTTCTATGAAAAAATATTAAAAATATGACTATCAACTAGTGTTCTAGAGGATGTCCAGTTTGTTTGGTCGGATACCTGTACGTAAAAAAGTTCTTGCTTGTTTTCCTGGTCAGGACCTATGAGAATAACTTCGAAATTTTTCGAACAATTAGTGGTCACTATATATAAAAAAACAGGAAGCAAACATCTGTGGATAAATAACTCACTCTGTTTCAAGACCAGACACACTAGATACTCTCCAGGGCGACTATTATCCTATAAAATTTAATTTTCTTGAATTTGATCCAGTATCATTACCAATAGATTCAGAAGTGAAAATTAAACGAATTATAACAGAAAAACTCAAACTGTTTAAAGTAGTTTTGTGACACAGTGATGTTCAATTATTTTCATCTCATCTTATGTTTAGAGTGCAAAATTACCATTTTTATTTGTTTGTGAAACTATTGATGACGAAGAATATTCCGTTATATTTAAAAATGAGGATAACGTAACAGAAGATCAGTTGATATTAGAAATTTTAACAGTCATGGATAAGCTAAAAGAAATTTGCCAACGAAATTCTCGTAATTAAAGTAAAATAACTCGCATAAAACTTTTTTTAGTCGAATGAGTATAACCAATCCTACTATACGGTTTTAATCTTCAGAAATATATTATTTCATTTTTCGATTCAGATAGTTTTTTCACTTCACAGTAATGATAAAACAAAATATCAGATTTTTTATTTGAACAACATTTTTAGCAGAACCAGCTATTCCGCTCAGATAGTGAAATTTGAAGAAACAACAAATACCAACTTTGTTGTTAGTACATTTGAACAAATTTTTTTCTGAAAATCAAATCAAAGACTGGTATAACTTTTGGGATTAATAAACAAAAAAATCAGTTCTGCAATAAAAATTTTCCAAAGTTCTTCTTTAGACCGTCTACTAAACGGCGTGGGCAGCTAACTCTGCTACCGTAACAGAATTCTGTGCCGATTTTTCATCAGTTTGTTTTCACTACAATACGTCAATAGGAAAGACGTAAGACTTCTTTGTCTTGGGTTTATCCTATACTTTCCTGTTGTAGGATCCAATCCGATCCTACGCAAGGCCTTATAGGATCTTACGTAGGATTTCATAGGAGTCCTGCCATATTTGAAACCAAAATATTCAGTCTTAAATCAGCTGTTTATTTACTGCTAGCTTTATTTATTTACTTTTTCTCTTTTGGGTTCTTTCCCGGTTCCTGAATCAGGACTAGGATGAACCCAAGAACAGTGAGTATGCGTCCATGTTGATGTTCACACTGTTCAATGCGAAAAATTGAGCTTATTCAACTTGACTTTTTATTTTTTTCAGCGTCGTATTTATAACTGTTTCTCTGACAAACAAAACGGTGAATAGAAAAGACGACAGAACAGAGAAAAATAAGAATCCTATAAAATCCTATCGTAGGATCTCATCGAATTTTATAGGAACCCTACAATAAGAATCCTAGTAGGATTTTCGTTGCGATCTGATCGGACCGGTTGGCCGGTCATATGTTTTTGTTCACCATACAAAAGCGGTTTTGAAGAAAATGCATCATTTTTTCTGATTTCTCGACAATGATTGGCGCCACACACGGTATAAAAGCGTATTCTTTGTTAGAACTTAAAATGAGTCCATCGGAAACACGCAAAGCTGAAATTTTCATTATTCCGCAGAACAGGAAATGAGTTCTTCAAATTTTTAGAACTCTATTTAGGATATTTAACGTTCAAAGAACTGGAAGCGAAGAACTCATGTTTGTTCT